AGGTATCAGTCCAACCATGCAATCCAAAAGGTGGCTCTGCATAGATGCTCAGCATGGAGCTCACCACCTGAGCCAACCCTGAAGCAAGGCGCACTTTAGTCCTTCTGATAGGTTTTCTTTAATACTAAGCTACTGCAGCTTCAAGTATTTTGCATTACATAATTTGTGTTTTTATAAATTAATGTTATATTTTTTCAATATTTGGACATATACTATAATATATACAGTACAATAAATGCTCTCATACTTTTTAAAATTTTTTTGATAAATCCCTGAGAATGTATGTTGACAGTCACTAAGTTTCCACATGCACAAGCATCATGTGTCATGCTTCTGGATGAACAGCACTGCAAAGCCACATGGTCAGCCTTTTAATTATTAGTATTTAATTTGTTTGTTTAAATGTGCTGAAATGTAAGGATGAGTTACAAAGGAGTAAAGCTGAATCCATTTGAGGTACTTATCACAGGATGGAGGTGTTTTGTTTACTTTTTAAAGCCATTGCAATACATGTTTTGCTTTTGACGCTGTGAACATATACAGAAAGAACAAGAGAGTGATGTGGGCTTTTGCCACTTGACAACATATACTCAGTGTAAACCAAACCTTTTTTTACCCTTTATCTCACACAAAACAGAAAAAAGGAAAAAAATTAAACACACAAACTTTCACAACATGACAGTTTAGTTTTAAAACTCAATATAACTATACACATATAATACCAGTGTGGCTCTGTTTCTTTAAGTTCAAAAGGATACAAAGAAACGCTCAAAAGTAAAAACAAACCACTTCCTCTCTTCATGCATTTTCATCAACCAAACCGCTCACGAACCAACATCATCAGTTTCTTTTTGCCTTTGTAGATTTGTTTTAGATTATCAATAAACTGTGTAAACTGGATGTGACCATCATGAGCCATCAAGAAGGTCTCTCGGGCCTTGCTGAGGAATTCTATAAACTCACTATAGTGTCGTGGGCTGATGTGAGTGAGACGTGAATGAGTTGTATTAATGTAGGCTCCAATTGTGGCATCCAAGAGTTGTCTTAAAGGGGCTTTGTCCAGTGACATGAGCTTACCAGAGTTCCTCCTTCCATGGAATCCCACCATGCCAGGAGTGGTCAAAGTACACCTACGCAAAATATCTGACAGTACTGTTGCACACTTGATACTTTTGACCACCAGAGGTATTACAGCTGCTAGCTCATTTTTCCCAAGGGAGTGGCTAAGTGAACATGCCCAGAGAACATCATTAATGGCAGGGTGTGTGTCCTGATTGTAACTCAGGTTGAGATGTGTTATGGCCAAAGTGGCCAGCTTGTAGGCCCGCATGGGGTAACCACGGTGCTCCATGTATCGTGCTATAGTAAAAAGTTGCGAGTAGCTCATGCCAGTTGTAGCAGCATCTAGAACAATTTGGTAAGCGGTCTCAAAAGCTATG